TTTTAGTGTAATTACTCATTAACACAGCTCTGCACTGCTGACCATTCTGCTCACACGGCTGTGTACAAATCAGTTAGTAATGGCACTCAAGGCATTTGGAGGAAGAATGGGGAGAAAAGGGAAGGAAATAACCTCGTCTCCTAAATACGCTCCGCAGCTATCAACAGTACCAAATTGCTGCCAAGCTGGTATTTAATCGCAGCTTTCAGTGGGCGAGTTTTCTCCCCTATTCATTGCTTACCTTACTTGTACACTTTACAAGTCCTTTGTGCTTTTGTTTGGTTCACAGTTTATTTTTCAGATGCCACTGGTTTTTCTGTTGTGTTTGAGCGATCTACCTATAATGCTGTCAGAAGGAATATTTCTGGGTTGGAGTCTTGCGTGGGGATAAAGCTGGGTTTCTGCTGATCGAGGAAATCTTGGCAGCTCTCCCAGACTCCTCATCTCGATGCCTGCAGGCTCTTCAAGCACTGTGTGCAGATCACTTAAGTCAAAGATGGATCTTTTTCATTGTATAGGAAGACAAATACATGAGTGCGTGGGATGTGTTTCAGCTTAAGCAGACAAATTTTAAAAATTTATCAAGGGAATAGTTCTCCTTAGAGAAATTTCAGCATTTTGTTTCAATTTAATAATTTAAGAAATATTTGTATTAAGTTTTAACTAAATAGAGTGATTTTTAAAGATAGTTAAGGTGCAGGTTTTCTGTCAAGAGCGTGTAATTTGAAGCAGATCACCCGGCAGTATTTCCAAGACACAAAGGAGAAACCAAAGTATTAATGTAAGGGGATGGAAGGTGCGTGGTTTGCGTTTTGAGTGTGAATAGGGATCCCAGCTCTAACAAGACAGCTGCTGTACTGGAGAGTGGCAGGCTGACACTGTTGTTTGGAATTTTGTTCTTTGGACGTTCATACAGGAGAAATTAATCTGCAGTCTTCCGTGGGTTGAAGTGAACAACTGCAGCTCTGGTTGGAAGGAATTTCTGTGCTGAACTGGCAGCTGCCTTTTGTGCTGGATCTGAAGTATCTTAACTTTAATTTTAAAAAACGGAGGCTCTTTGTGTGTTAAGTAGTTTGAATAAATGTGCGAAGCAATCAGTCAAAGAGTTCACCAGGATGGTTCAGAAGATGCCGCTTCAGAAGGCATTTGGCTGATGCAGCTGTAAAACACAAGTTTGCTTTTGTAACAGCTTCCCTACAGATGATTCTGCAAACTGTTTCATGGTTTTAATTAATATTATTAATGTAATTAGTTAATAGAAGGGTAAGAAATTAAAGCTCTCTGCAAGGGGAAAATATTCAGTTGCAGTGTAAAGTGAACAGAAATTTGAAATGAAATGGCAGTCAGTCAAGCAGGCACTCTGGGAAAGATGCTGACAACTACAGGCACTGAGGAGGTGTTTTGCATACTGCCGTACCTTGTTCCTCTGTGGCAGCATGGTGTGGAAGGGTTAAAGATAGGTGCAGTGAGGAGGTCTCCAGTTCAAGGGAACTATTAACACGGGCTCAAATTTAAACACGGGAGAAGCCTGGCTGATGTAGCCGGGACTGAGAATGTGATCACAGCATCACAGAATCACAGAATGTTTGGGGTTGGAAGGGACCTCTGTGGGTCATCCAGTCCAACCCTCATGCTGAAGCAGGGTCACCTACAGCAGGCTGCACAGGACCTTGTCCAGGCGGGTCATGATGTTGAGTTGGCACTCTGTCATTTAGGAGCAGAGAGATGATGGCTGGGAAGATCCCCTGACCCCGGCTCAGAGCTCTGCGTGTGTCAGCGTAGAACTCCGGAGGTTCCCATCAGCCCACTTCTCCAGCCTGGCAGGTCCCTCTCTCTGCCAGAGCATCTGCCGCTCCTCCCAGTCTGGTATGGCCTGCAAACCTGCTGCGGATGACCTCTGTCCCATCACCCACATCACTGATGAAGATGCGAAACCCCATCTGTCCCAGTGTCGAGTGGGTAATGCCACTCATTACCTAGGCTGCCGGTTGGTCTTCACCCCACCCACCACAACGCTGGGAGCCTGCTGGGCCAACCACACGCCCCACCATCCACCCATCCAGTCCAGAGCTGCCTTTTCGTGATGCCGCCTTGGCATGCCTGGGTGGTGTTTCTGCATTTCTTTGTTAGCCATTTTGGTCTCTGGTTTTGCTTCCTTTACACTTTCTGTGCTTAAGCTGGGCCAGGAGTACCCTGTTCAGCCATGCTACCTTCTTGCCATGCTCATTTTTTTCTTGCATGTAGGAAAATGGGTCGTTCTGGGGTTGTGAGCGGTTTGTCCCTGAAGATGAGCGAGCTCTCCTGATCTCAACTGCCCATAAGGGCAGCTCTTCATGGGGTTGCGCAAGTGCTGTGACCATGGTCAAGCTCCTGCTCCTGTAGTTCAGTGTCTTGATTACACCAAATGCCTTCCTCGGTTTCCTTAGGTTCTTAAATTCTACAGTCTGAGGGTCGTTTCAGCTAAGGATGCCATTGATTCTCAAACCTCTGAGCAAATTTTCCTTATTTATGAATAGCAAACCTAGGAGAGCATCTCTGCTGCTGGGTCATCCAGCGCTGGTGTGGGGAAGTTGCCCACAACACATTTCAGTGTTCTCTGCTTTGAGAAATGTGATGATTTAGATGAGAGGAAGGTTATAGCGGTGACTGTACGTGCTGATAACTTCCACTAGAACCTTTTCTGCCCCGAGACGCTACTGTTGGCACTTGTGTATTGTACTGTACCATCGAAGAAGGGGTGAAGCTGTAGTAATGAAGTACCCTGTATGGAGTAGTCCACAATGACAAGGTTAGCCTTGGGGGCACAGAGTCCAGAAGAAGAGCTAAAACGTGGTGCATTTCTGTAAGAAATCCAATTATGAGAACATAAAAATAGTTTAGATTTTGCAATGAATGTGAAGTTAATGGTGTAGTCTATTGATTGGGAGGGGGATGCTGGAGAATACTTAATTGTGATCTGTGGCTATTACAATGTGGAAAGGATAATGGAGAAGATATTCTGGAGGACTTGTCTTTCTGTCAGCTGTATTTTCAGTACCAAAATATGTATGCTTCTGGCTCTGGGAGTCTTGCAGAGTCCTGTAAAGATACAGATATTGGAGTAAAAAGTCTTGATTTCAGTACGAAAACAAGAAGAAACATGTGATTGAAAAGTAATTAAACTGGTGATTGTATTTACACCAGTACTTGTTCAGGGAGTGAAACTTTCCTAGCTGACAGGATGGGCAGTGTCTGAGGGAGGAAATCAAGCACGAGTGAGAGCTTCAGGAAAGGTGGCAGACACGACAGCGTGGTGCCAGGCACACCGGCGCACGGGAAGGGAGGGAGGGCATTGCCAGTGTCCCCGCAGAGCCGGGCCTCGCTCACGGTGGTGGCCGGCCCCGAGGCGGACACCCTTGTCTCTGGTGGGGTGTACAGCAGTGTTTCCTGTGGAGCAGCGGGGTGGCTCACAGTTCTGCTCGCCTACCTGCATTACGTTGCGCAGGTCTGATAAATGCCACGGGTTTGTTCTTCCACTGTTGCCAGCAGTTGCCTGGGAAATAGAAATGAAAAAGGGAGAATTTTGCCAATTCAAGACCTGAGTGGGAGATGATGCTTTGGTTGACAAGAGTTTTTTAGAATTTAAAGTCAGGTGGTTGTTGATGATGGACTTCTCAGTGCAGCCGACACGTTCTCAGTGTGTCTGCCTGAAGGTTTGGTTGCTCAGATCGCGCTTTCTGCTTTAGTCAGGGTTTTTGTGTGCAGTTTCCTTCTTGTCTGTCGAGACCCAAGTCCGCGTACTCTGGTAGTGTGGTAGGTGGAGATGCTGCAGCTCTCAACAAAAGCTGTGCTAGTCCTTAACTCTTTCTGGGGACAATGTGAGGCATTTTAGTTAGTTTCCATAATTAATAAGTGAATAAAGGTATTTGGCAGCATAGATTCCTGGGTGGACAATGTCATCAGGTGGCTTAGACTTGGTAAATAGTGAAGAGTACAGAAGAATTCAGAGCATCCTGAGCTTAGGGGTTTTGTTACTAATTGTGCTTCCTGTAATTGCTGTGGTAATTGGGGTCCAGCTGCTCAGAATATTACTGTTAGATTTACTGGATGGATTGCTTTAATAGGATTTGGAGAAGAGCTGTTTGTGTGCTGCAGCTTGTGCTGTTAACTTGCCAACCTTTTAATGCAATAATCCTGGAGATTTATCCCAGCTTTAAAGCGGTGATACAGGAAGGAGTACACGACTCACCACACAAGGTTTGTAAAGTCTTTGCAGAATGTGAAGCGAGAGTTGTTGATGCTTGTTAGCGTCTTGGTAAAATGCTGTAATATAGGTTATGAGAAGGGGATGAAGCTTTGATGGAAAGAGAGCAGTGACCGTAGTGAAAGTGAGGAAAAAATCCATACCAGGTTCATCACCGTGTCTTGCCATGGGCAGCGGCAGAACCCAGCCAGCTCAGAAAGCGGTGAATTGACTGCAGCGGTGAATTGCACAGCCTGGATGAGTTTGCACTTCTTCAATGAATATTCTGTATTTGTTGATTTTTTATGATTGAGAGTAGTATAAATTAATACTGCACGTTAATGAAATAAAGTAGAATAATGAGTCTGGATGTACTTTTGAATAAATAAAACAAGTTGGGGTTTTTCATTGGTAAATGTCTGGTATTATATCTGGTTTACAAAGAAATGAAAATATTGTTTGCCTCTGGTATGTCCTCTTAGGAGTTTGTATTTTACCCTCAGTTTCACCCTTCCCTTTCCCTTGCCACTTCCATTGCAGTGGAGATTCGGTCTGCTTGCTCGACAGTGACGTGTCCTTGAATATTTCCCATTAGTTTCCAGTAGTTACCTGGGCCTGCATGTCAGCCTTCAGTTTAATGGCCTTTTTTGTGTGTGTTCATTTTCTTTTGTTTCCCATCGTGGTTTTGTTTATTTCTTTTGTGTTTTTTTTCTGTTTTCTTTTTTTAAACCGTGGTGATGTTTGCCCTTCATATTCCCCAATGTTTGCACATGACAAGATGTTGCCATCCCAACATTACCTCCCACTTCACTGACCAGTGCCACTAATGACCATCTAGCACCAGCGACAACAGGACCATTGCCTTCAGCCCCGCGGGACGTCGTGGCCACCCTCGTCTCCACCCGCTTCATCAGACTGACGTGGCGGACGCCTGTATCAGACCCTCAAGGAGACAACCTCACCTACTCAATCTTCTACACCAAGGAAGGTATAAACAGGTAAAGATCTTGACATGTAAAATGGCTCGTGCCCTTTCGTGACTTTTCTTCGTACTAGCTTTGCTTAGAAGCACTGTAAGCCTTAGGTCTGTAATGCTCAAAGTCTGACAGGCCGCGGAGGCTGAGGGGTTGGGCTCCCTTCCCTCCTGCACCCTGATTTGAGGAAGGGCATTTTTATTTGCTTCGTAGCTGCACGTACGTATTCTGATGGGGAGCGCTTGCGTGTGGTTTTGATTGACTGCAAACAGTTGCTACCTGCTTTTAGCAGACTGCTTAGAAACCGAGAGCAAGCAGAGGCTGTAACACCTCTTCAGGAACACGGGCACCACCATAAACGCCATCCACAGCAGGCACAGAAACATCCTCCAGATACTCCACGTGCTGCGGAGGGAGAGCAGTCGCTTCATGCTTTCAAACCCTGCAAATACAGTCTGATTCTAGAGAGGACCGTGTGAGACTCGGAGCTGAGAAAGTCATGTGAAGAGAATACAAAATGCACGACTGCTTATGGGGAACTGCCACTCTTTCTGAATTCTGTGGATAGACGTCCAGGCTCATGGTGGCTAATTGAGGCAATTAGTAAAATTTTCTTTGCCTCACCAGTGTTGTGTTTCTACTCCTTCCTTACTTCAGTAATACTCATTCTTAATGAAGAAATTTTAAGTGAGACAGGAAAAAAGGGGGGGTCCTGCCAGCCACTCTTGGTTCCTGCATCTCCTCCTTCACGTTTCTGGCTGTAACCGCTCTACCCGCTGTATTTTCAGAAGGTCATTTGCTGGAGATGGCTTCATGCTTCTCCCTGTACCGGGTCTGGCTTTTGAGAGAACAAAATGCATCCCCTGCCACGACACACAACACTACAGAAATCTAGAAAATAATGCTTTTGGGACAAAGGCATG